TTCAACAGTCTAAACCTGTAGAAGCATTAGGCTACTAAGGAATAACTAAGGAATAACTCAGAAAACCTAAGTCTAACTTTAGGATTTATCAAAAAGGAAAGTCTTCAGTCTCGTCTTAAAAGTAGACAGAGTGTCAGCCTCACAGACAGAAACTGGAAGTTGGTTCCACAAGAGAGGAGCTTGAAAACTGAAAGCTCTGCCTCCTGTTCTACTTTTAGAAACAACCACAAGTAAACCTGCAGTCTGAGAGCAAAGTGCTCTTTTAGGAAAATATAGGACAAGATCTTTGATAGAAGATGGAGCTTGGTTGTTGAGAGCTTTGCATGTTAAAAGTAAGATTTTAAATTCTACTCTGAATTTGACAGGGAGCCAGTGGAGAGAARCTACTACTGAGGTTATAAAAATATTTCATCGTTGAAGGCTTCCAAAGCCAAGGATGTGTTTGATGTTGACAATAACATTTTAAAATTGAATAAAGAGGACTTAGCAATACTAATTACTCATTTGATCAACTTATCTATAAAACAGTTGTTCCAAAAGTTTGGAAGACAACTAAAATAACCCCAGTTTTTAAGGCAGGTGATAAAACCAAACAAGAAAACTATCAGCCAGTTAGTATTTTACCTATAGTTTCAAAGATTGCTGAGAAATGGGTCTCCATTCAATAAATTAACCATCTGAATATACAGTATGTGCTTCGCCTCTCCACCCAATGCAGTTTGGTTTTCGGAAACATCACTCAACTGAAACAGCCACTTGTTTTTTCTTTGAAAATATMAAAAAATTACTGRATAAGCAAGGTTGTGTTGGAGCTGTCTTCTTAGATTTAAATCCATCCATCCATTTTCTGTACACGCTTCTTCCTTTTCAGGGTTGCGTGGGTCACTGGTGTCCATATCCAGCAGTCACAGTGCGAGGGGCGGGGTACACCCTGGACAGGTCGCAAGTCCATCACAGGGCCACACATAGAGACAAACGAGACAAACAAACATTCACTCTCTCACTCACACCTAGAGACAAT